TTCCCCTTCCATGACAACTGTATGTGGGGTGAAATACGCAACACGTAATGTTTTGCCTGTAAGCTGCTGCTCCCTTAATGTGGAAACTATGCAAACACACTGGTCATTGAGGAAATGTTTTCATTCCGGTATCTCCTCACCTCATACTTTATAAATTAACTACTGATTTACAGTAACTTAAAACTAACCACACAGGTGAGGATTACGCACTGGGCTGAAGAATAAACTCATCTTTTGTTCAAGCTGCAATTCATTCAAATAAAGAGGTCAAAGTGGTGACGCTAATGTGCCGACAGTAGTATTAAGTAGTAGTGGTACAGTAATATTAAGAGACCCTGTGTAAGGGAAAGAAAGTATTTTAAACTTCTTGTTTTCTAACATAATATTTTGGTCAATCAGAGCAAGTTACCCTTATTTGTTTTTGTCTGGTGATAACCTGAGTAACCATGATTCATGAATTTATAATTCCATGGTGATAAATTAGGCATTTATCCTCTGCGTGACTTTTTGAAATGAGATTGACTGGCAATTAGGATTTTGTTTGGCAAGATAGCCCCAGTCGTCCACATCAGTCGATACTTAGCCAAGGCTGGATTCAGCATTGAAGCTTGTTCACACACTGAATCAGGAAAAGGTGGCATATCTAACTCCAACAGATGGCGTGTGTACACTTGCATGAAAAAACACACACAAGCCCAAACAGTGCAGCTACCCGCACGCACACACACACACACACACACACACACACACACACACACACACACAGAGTACAAAGAGATAAACAAGGTGTAGTATCCTAAATCAATCTAAGACTATATCCAGCCAAGGCAAAGACGGGAAGAAAAAAAAAAAAAAATCTGTCAAGCAAATCATTTAAATCCATTCTCCTACAATGTTTACATGGAATTCAGTGTGATGAGGAACTGAACAGGATGTCACAAAATATTACAGAGACTAATAAACAGTGTGAAAAGTAATGACAATAATAAAGAGAGTTCTTTGTTGTGAGCAAGATCATTTGTACAGTTGACCTCTTAGTGGAAATTACAGCAGGGCTAACTGTTGGATTATTTCCTGATAGTGCAGAGTGGATATTTAGATGGCTGCTAACCTGATGCACCTGTTTCTTTAGCTTATTTCACAGCTGAGCTTCCTGCTGCGTGGGTTTATCCTGAATTTAATTATTTATCCTGAACCAGAAAAACAAATTCAGTTCCAGCTACATTACTACAATGCCACATTTTATTGCTCCTATTTGAGAATACTATCTTGACATTATGTGAGCAATTATTTATGGTTAGACATATTCTGACAAAGACAACTGATACATTTTTTTATGCCTGATTTTGGCATTAAAGGTCTCATTGTTTGTTGGTCTCATGGTTGTTTAGAATGTTAATCTGAAGAGTTGCAAAACATTTAATTGACCATTTTCATTCATTAATTAGCTGCACTGTCCTTCAACTTTATTAAAAACTACTTGACTAAAATTTGTCATAACCTTCTTACAAGTCTACTTTCAAGTTAACAGCTCATGTTCTCTGAGATGGTCTCTGAGGTACAAAGTCTCTGCATCAAACAACCATGCTCAGTGTCTGCTGTAGCTCAGAAAGAGCCTGTGCAGTGTTTCAGTGCAGTCTGTATTCTCTCATTAATAGCCTGTGGCTAAGTAACAACTCATGGGATCCCAAGAAAAATATCTTTTTTTTTCCCCTCAGAAAAAAAAAACCTCTCAGGACTGAGCCAAAAGAGAAGCTACCAAAATGTTAAGACTACATTTAATAAGCACAAGTTAAAGTCAAAGAAGTTTTGTCCCTGTGCTCAAAGTGTGAATCTTTTATACGGCTGAGATATGAGGATCCTTTCGGAGATTTAATAACCACGTTTGCCACTTTGGACACAATATAGGAAGATATTATTCTGCTTAAAAACCAAAACTTACCATTAGTGAAATTACATATGATCAACCTTAAGGTTTTTATTATAAAATCAGTAGTGATTAAACTTCAAATAACTAACAAAAAATTGCCATCCTTTGATGTGATGTGCTTGGTAGGAAAAAAATGGATCATTTGCATTTAGCCGTTACAGTTCTTTCTGTAGTGTCCTATTTTTAAGCCATATCTGTTTTGCATAATGACTGTACAGCTAGACCTACACTGCTCCTATGACCTTTCGGTTCTGTCATGGTGCTGTACTACACTGTCACTACCACTGCTCTGCTTTTCCTCTCATTTTTGTCTCTTCTGCTCATGTGGGATCAGTCTGTCTTTGTGCATGCAGGCTAGCAGCTCTCAGCCATGTTCACCACCCCTGAAGGAGAAGGAAGCCTGTCCCAAAGTCACTGAGGCGGATTAGTCGGTCTTCTCTATCTCACTCCCCCTCCCCACTCCCTATTTAAACATTTTGATGGGGCTAGAGCTGTGGAACAACAAGAAGCTTATAGCATTGCCAAACGTTTATGCATTCGTTGAGGTGACTTAGAGCCAGCGTGCCTTTCGAAACTCATAAGGAATTTAAAGTATTTGTATGGGTCAGATTTTTTTTTTGCTTACCTATAAGACACAGTTGTTAATGAAACACTAATTCGGGTTGCGAAATGCAGAACAGCAGAATGATAGCAGTGATTGCTGCCCCTGCAGTAGTTTTTCAGCAAATATGAAAGTGGTAGGACAGCAGACAAGAGGGACCTAACCATTGACATATACTATTTGACATGGCGTCACTACTATGCAAAAGTGAATGGTAAATGGACTGTATTTTATATAGCGCTTTCTCACAGTGTGTTACACTGGCCAAAGCGCTTTACAGGAGATTATACACCATTCACCCATTCACACACCGATGACGAGAGGCTGCCGCACACTGGCGCCAGTCGAACCACCGGGAGCAATTTGGGGTTCAGTGTCTTGCTCAGGGACACTTAGGCATGCGGGGAGACCGGGAGGCCATATTACTTTTTTGCAACCAGATTCTGTGCAGTAGTAACCAGAAGTGGAGTGACAGCTAGTGTTGCTTTCGTCAACAAAAATTGTGACTAAACATCGTCGTCAACAAACCGTTATCACGTGACGAAAACAAGACGCAACAAAAATGCTGGTCATGTGACAATGACTAATTAAATTTATAATGCAATACTGTTGACAAAAAAAGAGACTAAATGTGGTTTGCAAAATAAAAACTATGCTAAAATGTCTCTTCATTTTCATTGACCAAAACGAGACGAAAAGAAATGTTATAACGTTATTTCGTCTCGTTTAGTCGCGTTATTATTTTGCAGTATTTCTGTTTCCTGTGTCTTGCTTCAGGGGCTGCATCAAGCCGCACTGAGCAGACGCAGGCGACTTTACTTCCTCAAGCCCCACTTGCGGCATTATTTAGAAGACGACAACAAACAAAGTTAAGTCTGACACAGAGAAAGGGACCAATGGCCGGCCAGCCGGGGTTCGTCTTTGGGAGAAAAAGAAGAAACAACATTTAGAAAAACTTTAATTACATAGAAGTGGAAAAGAAAACTGAGTGTGTTGTGGAAAAAGATGGGGAGAAATGCGGCCACAAAATAACACAAAATGTGTATTTGATGTATTCTTGCGTCTATAAGGTAATAATAATAATAAGATAACCTTGTTTGAAATGGGTTTGGCTAAAAGAAACTTTTGGTTTCCTCTATACTACTAGGTACTTATACTGTATTGACTGGGTTAGATAGAATTGCATTACTAAAAACAGACTAAAATACAATTTTCACAGACTAAAACTAGACTAAATGTCATCAGAAATTGGTCATAAATAATTGACTAAAATGCTCAGACTTTCAGTTGACTGAAACTTGACTAGACTAAAAAGAGTATGAATGTGACTAAAACTAATAAAACTAAAATGACAGCTTCACACAAATACTAGACTAAAACTAAAATTAAAACAGGCCGCCAAAAACAATTATAGTGACAGCCAATCATTGAAATACACCTCTTCTTATATCAAATAATTAATTAATCTGAGGCTCATGGAGGGGGTAGAATTTAGGATCTATACTGCAACCAGCCGCCAGGGGACGATCATTTGGCAGTGGCTTCACTTCTGGGAGCTGATCTGTGCTCATTAGAACTATGGTTACAATGTGCAAGACTTCACTTTACATCCTCCAGGCACAAGCCTGATTGACACCTTTCCCATCCTAGCTGACATGCAGATGGTGGCGGTGAACTGTGAACACAAGGTTGGTCCCAGTGAATCACATTAAATAATATAATCACAAAAATGTAGGGGAAAAAAAAAAAAGTACAGATCTTGTATATCCACAGCTACTACGCACAATAACTTATAGACCTGGAACATTGAGATGTGTTAAACTCCCTATACCCATTCTGAATGTTAAGCCAAGGAGGGTTATTTAAGTCACACAAGGCAGTTCTCAGTGAAAACCTAAGGCACAAGCATCTCTCCATGGTGTAACACACAGACTCGGAGAGAGAAAAATCATGTCAAATAGTTTCTGCCAACACTCTTCTTACAGCAGGAGATCAACAACAAAAAGATTAAAGTTTTTCTGGAACTGCCTGCTAGTAGGAGCCCTGAAACTAACCAGCTCTAACCTACAGATCTGCCAGGAGCAAAAGAGGGGGAGCTCCTTACTGTCAGAACTTTTAGAAATGGAGATATGCCATTCCCATACCCATACCATGGGAGCCAGTGTTGGACAGCAAGCAGAACAGAAACAGTTTTCAGGAATGTAGCTCTTTTAGAGGCTGTCACGGTTACGAAAGAGAGGGCAGGAAGACAGTTATGTAGCTTTTTCAGGTAGAATTTTGCTCTTTTGTGACAGCTTGCCACTATTGTCCCATTGTCCCAGAGGAGAGGAGGGCTGGCCTTTGGAGGATGGTTCCCCCGCTCTCTAGTCGCAGAGAAGCCGGCGACCATCATTTTACTGCCTCCTGGGACACGGGCAGAGAGACAGCAGCAGACCTTACACTCTTTACTAACATTGGGTCGTGACTCACCGACAAGAAGAGTGGGACTGAGGAAGCTGAAGAGATGACAAAGCCTCTGCCACCACGTCGCACATCTTCCGTGCCATCCTCCTTATGACTCTGAGCAGTAGGTTGAGCACATCTTCAGTGGCCACTGAGCTGAAAAAAGGGCATTTGAGGATAAAGTCATCACTGAAACAATGTAGAGGAGGTGTAGATTTGATCAAATGGATAAGCATGCGCTAAAAAAATAGTTGCCAGTGCACAGGCTGAAAGTAAATGATCAAGCCTAAAGTCTCTGTGAATAAAAATGCACCCAAAGACTGAGCACAGATACAAAAATACTAAAAGCATGTAATTGTCTTCACCAGAAAATTGATATTTTCACCACTGACGTGTCTGAGAGTCAACTCGGTGAACCAGTTAGAAAACAACTCCATCTGCCACAATGAGCTAAATACTTCAACACCATTTGCAAGTAGGGTCACAGCAATTATGCCTCTCCATTAACTGGCACAGTGAGAAACAGCCAGAATGAGTCATCATCCACTTTGTATTTTAGATCACAGAAACCATTTACCTTGGCTGCCCCTTGTTCAAGCCTGATTAATCAACATTAAGCATCCAAGTAGGACCTGGAACAAATTTCTGAACCTCAGTTGACTATTATGTAGTGCTGTGGACTGATTTATTTGTCAGTTTTGACTGTCAAAGCAAAACAAGGAGTGAATCTTAAGCAGCATCTTTGCTTGTGAGATTTGTGAAACTTTTAATCAAAAGGGCAAATGAAAGGTCATGTTGGATTGCAAAGTTTTCAGGTAACACAGGTTGAGGTCTGCCTCAGGTTAGCGCTCTGAAATTGCTGGAGGGCTTGGTTGAAGTGAGGTCTTTCACACATTTGTCTGACAGGATAAAGACAGCTTTTCAGACACCGATTCTTCTCTCTATTTATGCATCAATTCATTTCTATGTCCTGCCAAAGCAAACAACTACAATAAAAAGAATTAAAATCTGACAAAAGTTAAATATGCTTAAAAGTTACAAATGTTAAACCTGTATGAAAGATGGATACAGCTTTATCTCACAGTTGCTAGATGAATATTATACTGCTCAGTACATCTATTAGCCTAACCCTGTTCCTGCAAGCCTGGCCTTGAGTTAGTGACCAGAATACAAATGTGGGCAGGTGGAGCTCAGTATTGTGACCTCAGTTGTCATTATCTCAGCTCCGGTCAGTTGAACACAGTGTGGCATCACCAGCAAGTGTATCCATAATTAATGACAGGACCACTATTCAAGAGCGCACAGAGCCAATCAGCAGTGTTGTTCAGACAACCTGTCTAATGAAGACACTAAGTCAAGTTGCCTGTGTACATGGCTTCCCAAAGTGGTAGTCAGTTATTCCTATGCATGTCCTCAAATTGATCTAAATCACAAGACTCATTTTGAAGAGACAAGTGATGCCCCAAAACCCATTTCTCCTCTAACACATTTGGCTCACCACCAATCATGGAAATTGCTGGTAAAAAGTTTCATTTTGTCCTCTGGAAGTTAATCAGCTCACTGGAGCATCCACAACTGGTGAAGCAGCCCATTCATTGGCACCAAAGGGGGAGTTTTTTTTTTTGTTTTGTTTTTTTACTGGCTACTACGGCAAATAGGCAGCATCACACATTAGTTGCCTCCCTGGGTAAACTGCCCTGTTTTGTTGCAAGCTGGAGCCTGGCGTGATTGAATGGCTCCCTGAGGATGAGGCAATTTCACAATGTGAGCTCCTCACCACTAGAAAACCACAGTGCAAGAAAGGTTGGCAGCAGAAGTATCAGTGTCGGGGGTGACAGGCGCTGTGTGATTGTGTGTGTTTAGTTATGGTGGCGGTATTGTCCAACTGGAAAAGCCCCAGCCCCCGAGCTGAGATGACCCCGATGGGGAAATCGAAGTAAATCTCACTTGAAGTTTGGAGAGTGGGAGACTAGAATACCTGAAGTTGGTGGCAGTGTAACAGAATGACAGGCGCCATATGTTTGTTTGTGTCTTAGCTGATGATGCTCTGGCTGGTCGACACCCTTCTTTTAAACTTTGCTTAGCAGAGTCTTCTTTCTTCAATTGCTTTAAAGAGCTTGAAAACTTGTCTCTTATGGGTCCTTAACACACAATTTTGTGCCAAAGTTGGAACAGCTTTTATTATTTTACAAGACAGTGTCTTTGCTTTTTCTCAATTTTCCTATGCATCAATGAGGGTTCCGTCACACTTGTCTCAAAATACATTTGTAAAGGATGAAAGAAATATACAAGGTCAGCCTCATCATCAGTGAGCCTTGGGTGCCCATGACCCTTTCGTTGGTTCACCGTTTGTCCTCTCTTAGACCACTTTTTGCGGGTACTAACCACTGTAGACTGGGAACACACAACCAGACCCGTAGTGTGGGAGATGCTCTGACCCAGTCATCCAGCCATCACAGTTTGGCCCTTGTCAAAGTTACTCAGATCCGTACGCTACCTGTGTTTCCTGCTTCCAACACATCAATTTTGAGGACTGAATGTTCACTTGTTGCCTAATATGCTCCACACACCGACTAGTGCCACTGTAAATAGATAGTTATTCACTTCACCTGTCAACTTTTTATCTTTTTATTTAGGGTTAATGTTTACAGTTTAAAATACATTAGCTTATTACATTTTAGTGTGAATTCTGTTCTGAATGCTACAGAAGCAGTGTGTTTCTCTTCCTTTAATGGCCCTGCACACGTATCAGTTGTTCTCCATTTCTCTGGCTGGAAATTTGGCAGCACTAAGCAGAAAATAATGTAATGCCACCAAACCCCATGTATTAATAAAAAATAATATAGGTTGTAAATCCCACCCAACAGGTCCAACAAAACCATTACAAGGGTGAGAGAGATGTCAGTCCCCACACAGTCCTAAGAGGAGGTCAGGCCATGCAAAACCAAGCTGTGTGTGTAAACAGTGGGTGTGCAGGGGTTCTTAATTTACTGCATTTCATTTTGCATTGTTTTGGCCAGAATGCCTCCAAACAGAAAGTGTTTCTGTTCCTGTAAACCAAACTTCACACATCAACTAACAAGTTGAAACCAGGGCACAAAAAATGCAAATTGTTAGTAAATTGCACACTGCCACTGTCTGCTGTGGTGTTAACCTTGTTATGTTTTTCTGTATGAAAGTGAGAACTGAACGAGTTTTTTCCCCCTCCTGACCTTGTCTACAACTTCAGAATATTGCACCTTTTGTATGAAACCTTTTAAGTGTAGATGGTAACAGATGCAAGAAACATCAACTCTGTCCTCTGTTTCCTTTCACAAACCAACCTTAATTAAATATTTAAACGGGTGTCACATTAATAAGTAGATATTACAAAGTATATCCTTATATTTTACTAAAACAAATTTAAAAAAAGCACACAATAAACCCAGTGTGTCATTATGAATTTGCAGAGCTAGAGCTCATCACTGCAGGACATCTTTCTCCATTGTAGGTGCAGGGCACATAATACCAGTGCATTCTGGCTCTAGTTTGAAACAAAATCATTTTGACCTTTTTGTTTGGTAACCTCTGACTTCTGTTCTCTCTTTTAGCTTACACTGCAGCTCAGTGACAGCTGTGCAGATGTGGGTAGACAGCCCTTTTTGCATTTAGCTTTTGTTCCCTGGAGGTGCAAAATAAAACACAGCTCTCAACAACACTTATGAGTAAGATTTGGTGTCCTTTCAATGGCCACAGCAATACGGTAAAGTGCTGTATGCAGAGGAAGTCCATCCATCCATCCATCCATCCATTTTCCTCCACTTATCCGGGACCAGGTCGCGGGGGCAGCAGTCTAAGCAAAGATGCCTAGACTTCCCTCTCTCGAGACACTTCCTCCAGCTCCTCCGGGGGAATGTCGAGGCGTTCCCAGGCCAGCCGAGAGACAGTCACTCCAGCGTGTCCT